TTTCCAAACATCTTCAGAACACAGTGTTGCAGTTGCATATTTTGGCTGAGTATTGAGCCATTTCAAACGACAGTTTCCCAAAAGCAGATTAAAAAAATTCTGAATAGGTAATAGGATACATTGAGAGGAAGAACTCTTCGACATAAGAGTTATACAGCTTAGAAACAGACCCTTCAATCCAACTCATCCACACCGACCCGACATCCCAATCTGACCTAGTCCCATTTGCCAGCATTCAGCCTATATCCCTTTAAACCCTTCCTTTTCACATACCCATCCAGTTGCCTCTTAAATGCTGTAATTATACCTGCCTCCACCACTTCCTCTGGCAATTCGTTCCAAATGCACATTACCCTCTCCATGCCTTTTTATATCTTTCCCCTCTCACCTTAAACCTATGCCCTCTAATTTTAGGCTCCCCTACCTTAGAAAAAAAAGACCTTGGCTATTCATCCCATCTTTGTCCCACATCTGAAAGGTCACCCCTCAGCTGCCGATGCTCCAGGGCAAAAAAAAACAACTCTTCAGGCCATAGGCAATTTAGCAGAGTGGTGTGAAGGTGGCAAATGCAATTTACTGCCAAACATTATGAACTGATGTATATTTTGAACAAACAATAGTACAAATAAATACACTTCAATGGCAAAGGAAAAAGATCTTCAGGAATCCAAATTCATAACCTTGATATCTTCGAAAAATTGAGGCATATTGAAAAGTAAATACTGAAATACTGACAGGTAAATATTTTTAAGGAAGCACTGATTCAGGATACTGACAATAAGAGTACACATGGGGTGGGGAAGGAATCTTCATATCGGATGATTGTGGTATAGGCATATTTCAGCCACAAGAGAAACTAGTTGAGGAAGATAAGAAGGCAAAAGGAAGGTAAAAGAAAATAGCTAACAGCTCCAGTTGAATAAATATCAGTTTTCAAGGGTTGGGCCACAGACCATTGCTATTAACAAAACCAAGCAAAAATCTGAACAATTATGTCCCAATTGTGCCAACCATTTAGTACAGAAATATATCATTTTTGTGCTGCTATGCTCATAAAGCTTTGATATTCCATTGTTTATGATCCCAGCTTATGGCATTATTGGGCAAGTTAGATCCTGGAATGAAATCTGGTCTGGTAGATTTTTAAATTGTTTAACACCTCCCATAGCGGTCATTCACTGAAACAGTTAGACGAGGCTACAGAGGTTAAAGAAAACAAGTAAAAACAAAAAAAAAAATTATCAAGATATAGAACACAGTTGCAGAAAGTGATTTCTGACCCTCGTCAGGTCTCCTTAGAATTAAATCAAGAGATTAAAAAATTTTTGATTAATATAAAAATCAATCCTAGATTATCCTGAGCCAAATACAAGCTAATGGCCTTCAATGTAAACCAGCACAGTACATACAAACAAAACCAACAATCTTCAATTGAAACTCCAGGTGTTCCCTAACACACAATGTTCTGGAAAGAATGTCTGATCTAGTTACTTGCTTTTCTACAAACTTCATGAAAAGTAGCTGCTCTTGTATGCTACTATTTTAAAAAAAAATCAAAACTTTCTGGGATGGCAACTTGTAACTCGTACAGTGCCACAGGGATCAGTGCAGGAGTCACAATTTACAATATATATTAATTACTTGGATGTCAGAAGTGAGTATACTATTGTCAAGTTTGTGGATGGAAAAATAAGTCATAAATTAATAGTGAGAATGAGGCAAGGAGTCTAAAAAGGGAGCAAGTGGCAATTATTTGGTATAGAATATAATGTGTGAAAATGTGAGGTTATACATTTTGGCAAGAAGAGGATCTGAATATTATTCAAATACAGAGAGGTACAGTACAGAGGGATTTGGGGGGGTCCTTGTGCACAAAATAAAAAACTAACACCCAATTTCACCAAGTAGAAGGGAGAGCAATTGGAGTAAGGGGACACCTAGTTACAACGGAGGTGATAAGGCATTTCCTCGGAGGGTAGGGAATCTGTTGCATTCTTTACCATAAAAGAGCTTTAAGTCTGGGTCAAGTGTATTCAAGACTGAATTCAAGCATTCTGTCACTTTTCCTTTCAAAGAAAATAATAAAGCCTTTTTTTCTGTATGACAATTTCCATGGTTTTTGTGGCCAGTCAACCAAAAGGTATAACAAGTGGTGGTGCAATGTTTACTTTTTGTAGCTGCTTACAAAATGTGGCTTACATATTTGCAGCAAACTCAGGTATTAAAATAATATTGATATCGTGACAGTGAATGCCACATTTAACATGCCACTTTATACACCTCATGCAGCTATCAAATTTGCAGAGTGATCAGCAGTCTGTCAACATGAACTGATAGTTGGGAACACGTTTTTCACATTTCTAATGTATCTGCTGGTGACTTGAGAACTATTACTTCCATGTACTAATCACAGCACAGCCTGAGCAAGGTAAACTCTGTTCCTGTTGGTACCGGAATTAATTAGAATCAGAGAATTTTGAGTCTGTGCTGCCTTTTCAAAGGACTGTCCAAATTCACCCCATGCCTCAGCCTTTCTGCAAGCTAGTGTTCAAGTACATGCCCAAATCACCTTTTTTAAAAACATTCCAAATGAATCAGATTTTAGTCCCCTTTGGGTCATACATTCCAGATCTTAGCTACAAACTGAAGAACTTTCATTCTTGATTCCTCTTCAAGTGAAGTTCTTTTATCAATTATTTTAAATCTGTGATATCTGATTACAATCACTCAGGCAATTCTGCATCCATGTTATGACTGTGCCTTTTATTCCACAAACTATAGCTTTTCTCACATGTCTGTTAAGGCACTGTATGGAAAACTTCTGGAAGTCCACTTACACCAAAATCAACAGCATTACCATCATTGACTATTTCTGTCAGCTCTTCGGAAAGCTTCAGCAAGTGAGTTTGCCCTTCAGGTATGCAATTTAATGGGTGAGATTAAGGAAGTCATAGCAAGCCTGAGTCACTCAGCCTATGTGAGTTAATTGAGTGGCCTTTGAGGCTGGGTCAGAATGGAGGCAGTTGGGTGGGCAAACAGGGCTGTTCAGCTGAATTTTGGGGGTGGGGGAAGGGGCAGCAGGGTTCTGCTAGTACTGGGGCAGACAGGAGCTTGAGTGCAGTGTTGGAGACAAAATAGCATGATTTTCAGCATAGAAGTAAGTTTTAATCACGTTTGTTCCAAAAAAGATAAAAAGGTATTCACCATGCTGCTTTGACAGGTTGTTTCAGCAATTTGGAGGCAGGATGTGGGAACAGGGTCCAATTTTTAGTCAGGGTAGAGGGGAGCTCTTGGAACTATTGGCCACTCTGGCATCATTTTAAACAATGTGATTTGGATTTTTGATGAACAGCTCTTAAACTTGAGTGAATGCATTACATGGTTCGTCTTCTACTTTTGACAATGTAAATATTAGCAAGCTTAAAAGATCATGCATTGAATATACATGACTTGTCTATAATCATACTATATTTACCTTCTTTACATACAAATCTTGAAGTCAGCAAATATTCATATTCCTTTTGGAATGTAACTTCAAATCTGCTCTGTTGTAATTGCAGTCAGTCTATCTTATGGACAAGTCAGATCACAGACCGAAATTTGGCTTGATAGATCATACTTCATTCTGTTTCTCATTGAAACACAAGCATTCTACGTCACAGACTTGGTGTAAAAAATGTTTATCAAGCGAGAGAAATGAAGATAAAGTAGAACAGACCAAACTATTTACACACAATACATTTTTAAAGATATTGAAACACACAATAGAAATACAATTCCATTGATCCAAAACATTCCTTTATAGACTCCAAAAACACCCTTAATACAGTACTCTACTTTTCTTGGAGTATTTCCTGGAGAATTCAGGTTCAAAACATTCTCAGCTTCAAATAAATTCTTTAGGGTTTTATCCAAAATGCTTTCCACCCATTACATAAACGACTATTCTCTACTCACACAGCAGAACAGTAACTACCAAAACTCTCTCTACAACACCAACTCACGATGCCAATCATACCAACACAAAACAACATTGAATTAATGAAATGTTATTGCCCTTGATCATTGACTGGCTCTCTCCACAGACACTGCATGACTGAATTTTTCCAGCACTTTTTGTTCTTACTTCTGCACTGATGATTTTTTCCATCTTGTCATTTAGGGCTTAGCATCAGCTGTCAAACACTTTTTGGCAACAGGAACAAAGTGCTGATCATCCATTGCTCAAGCTCATTAGAATATACATCCCACATGAACATATTGTGCTGCAGAAACAACCAGCCTTGGATTTCAACCATTTCCCTGGGCACTGCAGTATCAGGACAGGGTCACGACACTAATGAAATCATTACCTGATTAGTTCCCTTCAAAAATCAAGATCAAAGAATACATTGGAAAAAAGTAAGGTTCTTCCCCCTACACCTCCCCCCTCCAAAAAAAAACTGATCAAATAGAAGCTGGACTCATTTAACACTCACCAAGTTGAAGATCAAGGACACAAGGTCAACTCCAAGATTTTCTATCATTTCAGTTCAAATTCTGAAAATGTTGCATTATTGGAAATGCAGATATTAAACCATGCCCCTGTTTGCCATCTAAGAAAAACTCAAAAGATCCCACAGAACTATTTGACTGAAAGCCACTTTAAGCTCCAAGAGTCTTGGTCAACATTTATCCTTCAACCGACACCACCCATATTCTCTCTGAAAGCTGGCCACCACATTTGCCTAGAAACCAAGAGCATGAAAGATGTAATCTAAACAGAAATTCTTTTTTCAAACATTCTCCTGCAGTGCAATTCATCATTATATCACCATAATAGGTTTCCAAAGTACTTCTTTACAGGATTTCGGGGGAATAACTTTTAACAACTTATAAAACAAGGACACTAGAAAAGCTAACTGTAATGTTAAAGAAAGGCATAAATACAAAGGCGATCATTTGGCTGGAAAAATTCAGTATCAAATTAGTGATCATTTAATTTAAACGTAAATACAAACCTTGGCAATGCATTCACCCAGAGAGAGACTATTGCTCTTACATTTTCTTTTACTCATGATGCAGTTTGTTCACAACCTGTAATGAAAAAAATTTAAAAGATTAAACACGTTCTACTCTTTTCCAAATGTCACAATATAGAGTAAAGAAATTTAAACTAGGATTATGATTAACTTTTAATTAAGATTTATTTTACAAAAATGAATTTGTGTCAACAATTTGAGTTAACCACTTCAAAACAAAATTAAAATTAAAATTTCCAGTTATTAAAAAAAAATTACAGGTTTGAAAATATCTGTAATGTTACTTTCAGCCAGAAATACACAAGATATAGTGTGTCACATTGTGTTTGTTTAGTTAAGAAAACTTGCTTCCTGGCAGCTATTTTTCATATGGTGTGATAGGGCAATCTGGCTGCCAGATAGCATCTACATTATCAAGACACAGTGAGACTCAATTGTACACAAAAGTGCCATGATATTCAATGTACATCTGCCTTCATATTGCTTAGTCAATTTTTAAAAAGTACAAGATCAGAGAGAGAAAATGGACTATTGTTAAAATTCCCATAGAGACCGATACCTTTTCAGCAGAATCGAAATCCGAGTGACCAACTGCACCAAGAGATTTCATACCTTATTATGTAAAGTCCAGTACAGGGATGAAGACATTACAAATTCTAAAGCTATATTTAAAACAAAGTGAACACAAAAGCTTTGGAGGGGTGGTGGGGAGGCCATCACATGACTTTGTCAACATCAGGTCCAGACAAACCTGAAAACACCCAATTCAATACAGATGATAAAAACAACTCAAAATTCACATATCCTTTTGGACCATCAACAAACTGGTTTATAACACATCAAAAACTGGTCTGTTTAACCACAGACAGACAGATATGTTTAAACTCTATGGGTTTCCAGAGAATATGAAATGGATCTCAAAGACATATTATTGTATTGTGTTGGCTCCTCACCCCAAACACCTTGGCTGCATCAAACACTGTGGTAAGCCATAACGTACAATGTGTATTGGCCTAAAAGCAAGACCTTGTTTGAAAACGACAATGGATTTATAACAAATCACATGGGTAAGGTAGCCATGTTTGCTGCCAGTTTTTAAAAAAACTACATCTAAAAAGCCATCAAACCAGCAACAAAAACAACAATGCAGGCAAGATACAGCTATACTTTTAAAGTAAGAAACTCTTTCCCCTCCACTTGTTTCAAACTGCAGGTTCACCTAAGAGGTGACCTCCTGGCAATTTAACTACAAGGAATCTTAGATTACTGAAAATTCTCTGCTGTTTCAAGACTCCAATCATCCAAGTGATTTCACATCTCAGACTGAAATAATACCAGATTGTATTTTTTTTTCTTCATCTGTATCTAATATTTATTGGTAAAAGATGTTGCACTTCAGACTTGAGGCAATTGTAGTCCCACCCAACCTAGTAGCGACCAGACATCGTGGCCCAACCAGACCCTCTGGAGGGCCCAAGGCAGGGACTAGTGTCAAGGACCCCACCAGATGCACCCACATACTTTCTGGAATGGCAGGCTATCCAAACCAACTCCCAGACTCAGCCAGGAGCAGCCACTTACCTAGGTGTGCAAAACATGCTGGCTGACAGGCGAGAAAGTGAAACAATGCTGTTTCAAGTTTCCCATCCCCAGCAAACGCCTGGCAAACGTCCAAGCCATTGAAAACAAAGCTGGATGAACTGAATGCTGGGCTCACCTAACCAAGGAAACTGAGAGACTGCTGTGTGCTTTGTTTTAGAGACACGGCTCACTCCTGCATCCACATGACTGTGCCTTAAAACCTGGAGGTTTCTCAATTCACCAATAGACTACTTGTTGTCTTTGGGCAATGCAAAGGGTGGAGGGATCTGCCTCCTGATCAATGTCTCTTTGTGCTCAGACATTAAGCCTTTGGTGAGTTACTGCTACACGGACCTTGAACATCTTAGAGTGAATGGCCATCCCTACTACCTGTGTGGGAGTTTACTTCTATTATCCTGTCAGCAGTTTACATCCCACCCTATGGTGGAAAAGAAGAGTGCATTTGATGAAATATACACCACTACAAATAGCCTTGAGACAGAATACTCTCAGGCCTTGTTCATTGTAGCTGGTGACTTGAACCAGGCCAACTTCAAAAGTGGTAGTAGGAACTACCGATGCTGGAGTCCAAGATAACAAGGTGTGGAGCTGGATGAACACAGCAGGCCAGACAGCATCAGAGGAGCAGGAAAGCTGATGTTTTGGGTCTGGACGAAGGGTCCAGACCCAAAACATCAGCTTTCCTGCTCCCCTGATGCTGCCTGACCTGC